CACTTCCAGTGTCTGATGATTCTGCTAAACTTCTGCCATCAGGAACATCAACACGCACTATTTCTATTGATTTCTTAATCTCTTCGCGACTAAATGGTTTCACATTGTCAATTGGACTAGATGGTTGGATGACTGGTATTTTACTCTCTATTTTCAAGTCTTTAGGACTGCACTCCGGTGATGGTACTGAGAAGCGAGGAACTGGTTCAACACGATTGACGTTCACATCTGGTCGAGGTTTGGGTACTGGGATATCTGATCGTTGTGTCATTGGGGGTATCTCAGGTCGTTTGATTTCCACCCGTGGCTTAGGCATGGGTTTCGGCATGGGTTTTGGAGGAGGGGTGGGCTTTTCCCTGGGTGAAAATTCACTAGAAGTGTTCAATACTGAAGAAGAGTCAGATGATCTGTCAGTCAAGGATATTTTACGCTCAGTCGTGACAGTGGTTGTGGTCCGTGAAAGAGAGCGTTCAGGAGTGGAGCGTGTAAAACTCCTATCAGCACTACTTGCAGAACTAAAACTACGATCTGGACTGTCACTATTACGATTATTAGGTCCTAAATCAAAATCTTTTGATCCTTTAGCCACTAGCACATTATAAGCCTCTTGTGATTCTGGAGGTAAATCATCTTCTAAGTCTTTTGCAGCAATGTCCTCTGAAAATGTTCGTTTTCTTTCTTGTTTTGGACTACGCTTAATTGAGTTTTTCAATTTAGAAATAATGTTTCCAGACTCATTTGCTGCGTCATAATCAATTTTTTTAGGTGTTTCAGTTGGACTCTGGCCACGTGATGAATGAACTGCAAATTCATTAGCCAACGCAATGGCATTTTCCATCATCTTTTGGTCTGAAGCAGACATTGGTTTCACTTTGGCCTGCTTTTTAGGTTCAGGTCTTGTATCTCTTTTGGTCTCCTGTAAAAACAAGACAACATTAAGAATAATTTAAATGCTACCTACAATTTGGACCTATCAATAAACTACCATGTTATTTGAGTGTTGAATTTAAATACAAATGGGCATGAGAGACCTGCTTTTTCTATTCAGGTTTCCTATGTTCACAGATCAACACCTTAAATCCTTTCCTGTTCTTTTGTCCCCTTCTAATCATGTTTCTTCAGTCAAAAAAAAGGTGATGTTCATAGGTTCCACTGTGTAATCAAATGTGTCTTTTTGTTTTTATCTACAATGCCAAGACTCTGTTTATCTCTTCAGCTAATAGGAAATAGTATCAGATTACCAAATTTATAGTTTTAGCATGAAATAAAATAAGAGGTTTACGTCCTAATATTCTTTGTTAAGTCAGTGGCATTGGCTTACTCTCTATGGATTTCCACCCTCATCTACATATTTAATTTCTTTCAAGGACAGGATTCTATGGAGTTAAAAAAACATCCCCTCACCAAAGACAACCAAAGTTACCAGAAAAACTTCATATGTTATTTCTACTGTTACTGTTATTTGATATATGAATGTGCGCTAAGCTACAGAATATATCTATCTAATCTGAATTTAAACTGATACAAAACAAAAACTTAATTTTAGTATAGAAGCAAAGATTTTCTCGCTTAATCTCTTGCCTATGATATAGTCAAATTGAGAAACCCAAAAATAAAAAGTAAAATCCTTAACCAGATGTGCCACCTGTGTGTATATGAAATGGACTCACAGTTCTTGGTAGTGTTGTTGGTAAGGGTGGGGGCCCTGGTTTACTATCAGTCTCCTCTGGTGATCTAGATCTACTATTAATATGTTTAAATGGTTTGTCAGGACTTTCTGATGATCTATCTGATGATGCTTCCAGTTGTTTCTCTTTTTCATCCAATGCTTTCAATACCTCATCCATAAAGGAGGGACCAAAATCAAAACCATCCTGAAGAGAGGAACAGTAATATACATAGATAATTAGTGAGAAGGCTACTGTACATAAATTTAATCAAATGGTGTTTTCCATCTTTCTTTTCTATTCCTTATTGGGCTAATGAAGATGGGACAACTACTGCCCTGTGTAAGTAATGAAATTTGCCAGGACAACCGTTATTTTTTCAACTTTTCCAATTGTTGTTTCTGTTCAAAACCTGGTGGGAACATTCAAATTCAAATGCATAAAGGTCAATTTTAACTATGCAACTATGTATTTGAGCTATAAAGGACAGGACATACTCTTTGTTTTGATGATTTTCTTGTGCAAGACACATATGACTATGGTTTACTCAATCAACTATATGGTAGACTAAGCCAAGGTAAGCCAAGGTAAGCCAAGGTTGCCCGGGATATAAGGCGAAAAATAAGTATATGGTAAGATATAAGGAATACTCACAGATATATCTGGGATCTTAAAATCAAACAAAGCATCATCATTAATATCTTGATATGGTGGTGTATGGGTACCATTACCTACATGACTATCTAATGATTCTTGACTAATCCTATAAATAAATAATATATCATCAGTGGCCTTTTTAGGAATGGAGGAGGGGTCAAGTAGGGGTCACATTATGGTCAAGGAGGGCTCACAGTAACATGCATTTTAGAACTCAGTCAGGAATTTGAAACAAACTGAGGGGGCCTAATCAGTCCATGACCACCCTGGCTCCCCCTTAGAAACACCAATAACCATCATCACCACTAATACCTGTATCAAGATTACCATTTTATATTGATTAAGTCACTTGAAAGTTAAGTTCTAAGTCATTTGGAGAAGCCAATACCACAAAACTTGCTAAGTACAGAGAGAGTACCTACCATGATCTAGAATAACCATTAGAGGTAGGATGATCTCTATCAGGACTTTCACCATAACGAGTTGGTAATGACATCATAGATGAAGCTTGACTTCCATCTCCTAAAATAAATATAAAATATACCGAATAAAACACTATAAGCTATTAGGTCTCTCCAAACAGGAAGCAGACTGGCATCAGGTGATCTGAGTATGCTCTGGTTGACTAGCAAAACCAGTAGCAGTACAGAGGCACAACTTATAGTAGAGTTCAAATTTTAAGTATATTAGGATACAGAAATAGTAAATACAAATGAATACTTCCTTTAACCATTAAATTCAAATTCTCAAACTAGTGAATTTACCACGTCTCATAATTATGAATTACTCAGTTTTAAAGATTATACAGAGACTGTTGCATAGTTATGAGACCAGATAAGTCCACAGATAAGTATATTCTCATTGGACAATTAGTTAGGAATATAAATTGAATGTTCATTCTTACAATAAATAGACATAATATACCTCATATTTTACCCTTCTACAACTTACCTCTATTAGATACTTGTAAAGGAAGTTTATCATAGTTATCTCCTATAAATGAAACATCACCAAAAACGGCTCCATCGTAACCAATATGTCCGGTATGACGTAGATCTAGTTGTGGTCTACTGATCATATCTGCTCGGATCTTACGGCCAGATTTACGGCCAGATTCTGCAACATTAGACCCTAAATAGTATTTCATAAAGAGATAACTTTCATGCAAAATTAAAAACAGTAACGTAACAATAAGCAACAGATGACAGGGAGTGTAACCAAAAACATTGAATACTTAAATTTGAAAAATCACAAAAATCGGAAAGAATTTAGGAAAAATGGTAACAGAACAAGTACACTCACAGGAGGTATAACAAGTGAAACAGAAAGCTGAGATAATTTGTTTGTAAAATCTTTGGAAATCATAATAAAAAATTTACTGGAAACTGAAGAAGGATAATTTAGCAATTATTGTTTTAATGCTTAAGAATTCATATGGCTTATGGACGTCCTTTTTAATTGCTTTCAAATGTACAATATTCAAAATGTAACAACTACGTCAATTTACTTTTAACTTTGCAGTTATGTATTTACAAGAGAAATACCAGAAACATAAAAAAACCAACATTGCAACAGACAAACATATCTTTACCTTTTCTAACTAGAGAAGTTTTTGGTAATGCTATAGGACTGGTTTTAGGTTCTATAAATGGTACTGTATTGGTGGGGTCAAACCAGCCATACTTTCCATTATTCAATACACCCTTCCATAATCCTGGTATTGGTGGACTGGCAGGTCTAAAATCAAACATTATCTTGATTATTATACAGGTATTAGGTATTAACTCTTTTATTTAATACAGAGTCAAAATACTGTTCAAGATATAAATATTTAATTTTGTATTAGTGAACATAACCTTTTCATTCTACTTTTGTCAAAACCTCTTTATGCTACTGGAGATAGTGTATTGCCAATCCAATCATTTTTTATAGAATTCAATTTCTCAAGTGTAGCAGCAGGATAATCTTTCTGTTTATACTTACTTTGTATCTAGCACTATAATAACATCATAAGCTTTATAATATAAATAATCTTTCTCAAGTGTAGCAGCAGGATAATCTTTCTGTTTATACTTACTTTGTATCTAGCACTATAATAACATCATAAGCTTTATAATATAAATAATCTTTCTCAAGTGTAGCAGCAGGATAATCTTTCTGTTTATACTTACTTTGTATCTAGCACTATAATAACATCATAAGCTTTATAATATAAATAATCTTTCTCAAGTGTAGCAGCAGGATAATCTTTCTGTTTATACTTACTTTGTATCTAGCACTATAATAACATCATAAGCTTTATAATATAAATAATCTTTCTCAAGTGTAGCAGCAGGATAATCTTTCTGTGCCTTTACTTGTACTGGTCTCATCTAAAAAATACATTTTACAAATCTAAGCAAAAAGCTCAATTGCATATATCTAACAAGTGATTCAAGGGTATCAACAGATCCACAATGAAAACTTTTAATTGTTTACCTCAGGAACTATCACTAGAAATAGAATGATTTTAGCAAATGTGTCCAAATTAAATTCATTTATTGATTTAACTTCATTGTTCTGTTATTGTATTTTGATTGAAGACTAATGCAGAAACCTCTGGAAAATGCATTGAAACAAATTATGCGAAAGTACAACATGGGTGTAAAAGCTAAACAATGCTCTGCAAACAAAGTTCTACATGGCTACAGGAAAATATTGCAGATTACAAACCTGAGGTATTTTGATAAATATTTGACTAAATGTTGGTCTATCTTCTGGTTCATGTTGCCAACATTGTAACATTAAATCATAATAATCTTTAGGACATAAATCAGGTTGTTCTAACCGTTGACTTTGAGGCTGATCAATGGTATCTAATATCTGAAAGAAAATTAAAACCTTATTGTACTAAAACTGATCTGGGTTTCAAAATTTCAGCAATTCAACAAATTTCCTACTTCATGCTTGGCTTAGATCATTCAAATGGAAGAAATCAAACTGCATTCAGCAATATTTGGCAGTTTCTGTAAAGCTGAATCAACCTCAGTAATGAATGGAAGATTTCGCGTGTCTTCTTGGGTGATCCTTTTTACTGTTTCTTATGACAAATTATTTGCCAAGTAATAATAATGACATATATATGCTCCATTGCTTTAAAACCTTTGGGAGATTGTAAATCCACCAATAGTAGATTAATGCGGCAAACTGATAATTAAGATATTTCGATAGCTTTATGACATTATTTTATCCTTTATATGCCATAAATCAAAACAATTCCAAATAACAAACAAACAAATAAATAAATTACCTGTTGACCTGTTAAGCCTGACCAGGGCTGGAAGCCGTAGGTAAACATTTCCCATAATGTTACACCAAACGCCCAAACATCACTAGCTGACGTAAACTTTAAATAATTGATACTTTCTGGTGCACACCTGAAGTTCATTAATTTAACTTTGTCACTTTGTGGACACAACACAGCTCTTTTAGAAGGTATTATGTTTTACAGATTATTCAAAAATTTGATAGCTGCAATCTTAGCTTTTGTTAGTTAGAATTTCATATTCCACTAGATACAAAGGTTATAATCAAATATTATCAGTTTCCTTGCAAGATATAATTATTAAGTGATAATAATTCATTGTTCTCACCAAGCTATAGGTAATTTTAAACTGGTACTAAAATTACTTTGATAATAATCTTTACCAATACCTAATGCTCTAGATAGACCAAAATCAGACACTTTCACCTGTAAATAAATATATTTAATAAATCAAATAAATAGACAATAAAAAGTCAAGCTTTAAAACAAATACTAGACATTATGAGGGCTTCTTTCTTCAATGAAACCACAACCCCTATGTTAATAAATAGATGTGACCATGGTTCACTTTTTCCAAATAGCTTGGTTCACTAATTCACTTAACTTTGTTGATAAGTGAGGTCAGTAAAAAAAGAACTAATTTTAGTGTGAAACTGAGCTCTATCACCTGATAAAGCAAAGATTAAATTGAGTGAATAACTGTAAGATTGTTTGAACCACTTTAGAACTAACCTTATGTTTAGAGAAAACAAGAATATTTCTAGCTGCTAAATCTCTATGTATTAATCTTTTACTCTCTAAATAACTCATTCCATCACAGATCTGTTGAGCAAAGTCACACAATCTGGGAACAGGGAAATCTAATCTCCGTGATGGTTCTTTTAAACATTCTAATAATGATCTCATTGGTGCTAATTCTGTTACCTGAAAACATAGTATAACATATAACAATATGTCAAGTGAGGTGACTACACTACACAAAAAATCACTTTAACCATGTACCATATACTCTGCGTAATCTGACATACAATAGGACCACAAAATAATGTCAGATTAGCGAGAGTGTCGGAGTACTCAAAGTTACGACATTTTTTTAACATGTGCCATGTGTTACTATTCATAGCTCAGTGACCCACATTCTACAGACAATAATAAAAACAATTCAATTTTATAAGTTACTGTTATTTAATTGGTCATATTTTGAGTTACTGTACATGTGCTTTTTATTGGAATTAATATTGTCGGCAAACTTTTAAAAAAATTCTTCTTTATGTTTTAAAATTCTGGTTAATAGGCCTACTGTTCGACGTAAACCAAATTTCATAGTGAAGAGCACGGCACTTTTTCATAATCTCCAATAATTTTCTTTCTCATATCCAGAGACACATCAGTACGAGCATGCTTTGAAGGATGAAAATTGTTAGCTTGAGAATTTTGATAAAACGCGAAACAAAGAATGGTCAAGTTGCATAATTCTGTTCTATACGGTGTACCCATGCCATTTGATCTAAAGGCAATGACCTTCTTTTTTAAACTAGCCTAAAAAGAAAATCAATCGGGACCAGAAAATGTCGGATTACGCAGAATGTCAGAATACTTAGATGTCTGATATCACAGAGTACACTGTATTAGGAAAGAAACCTCTATTGTCATTGTATTCATTGTCATGAAAGTATTCAAAGAATGAATTGGTTGCATTTGCCTTTCTCATCAAGACATATAACATTAATTAGTGAATTAATATACCAGTAATAAACACTGCTATTGTTTCATGTTGTCAGACCATGGTATACTGCATACTTTTTTATTCAGTTTATATGAATACTTACCAACATCAAAGAATTATCTTTATCTAAAACTACACCAAACATTCGTACTATATTTTCATGATCTATTGTCTGCATATTAGCTGCTTCTTGTAGAAACTCCTGAGTACCATTCTGCATTCGTTCTTTACTTAAACATTTGATAGCCACTTGTACCTACAAACAGTAGAGATTTTAACATGTATTATTCTAAAAAAAAAGAAGTTGTCTCCCTTTGAACCAATACTGCCTGCTGTCAAAGGTTTTCTTAAACATACAAATGATTTAACTTTGATCCACCTTCAGTTTAATTGTATTAAGATGTATTGAGAAAAGTCTCAATATGAAAGCACAGACTTGGATCTCAGAATAATAACAGATATCAGCTGATATAAGAGACATTAAAGTAGTATTGAATGCTACCATATGACTTAATTATTTTGGTCATAATTTTACTCCTGTAGCCTGTAGGCTATTTTTTTTTTTGTCTTATTAGTTTTAGCTATAAATTCGTCAGAACATTGACAAATACAGAAGTCTTTGGTCATAAAATAGAAGAAAAGTGTACTTTGGCAAAAAATAAAAATAAAATTTTACACATTTTCACACTTCAAATGTTTTCATGGACATTATTCATTTCATGTATCAGTCATTCCAGAAGGTCAAATATGCCCAGACTTAATGGTGACCAGTGATTTTTTAAGCAAATTTTCTGTCAATTATGACAATTTTACTACTAGGTATCATTGATACTGATATTGAAATGTCCATACTTCAGTCAAAGTACTTACTTTTTCTCCATCTTCTGTGGTCCAGACTCCCTGTTGTACCACACCAAACTCTCCTTCACCTAATGTTTTATTAATACTTATAGAGTCAGCTAGTATAATCTGTTTACCAGGGGTACGAATATATGATGTTGGTCTAGATTCTGGTGGTGAGGGACTAGTTGGTCTGTTTTGTGCTGTCGAGTTACCCCTTGTTATAGCCTGAAATCAGAGGATATGCAGAATCATAAGATAACAATGAATATGTTTAATGTGTATAGTCTTTACTAAAAATTTCAGAGTTTTGTAAAAAAAAAACAGTTTTCTAAAGTATGTCACTGTAGACGAGCAGCCGAATAGTCTACAAGTCAAGACATTCACCTTCATGAAATAGGTATTTGTTTTCTGGACAATTTGAACATTAGCTTATACTTTAACAAACATTTAATATTTGTCAGTGTCCACCTAAAATTTTCACATTCTAGAAGAGAAATGTTAACTTATTTACAAGGTTTTTTGTGTAAAACTAAAGATTTTCAGTCAAACTAATGGTTAATTTTGATATCAGTAATGAAATAAGATTATATATCTTAATGAAGGTTATCTATAATCTGTTAAAACCTAGTGGTTTCACATCTTAGCTTTAAAGATGTTTTTAAGAAACTAGATAGTTTTTTTATCTATTTTACTCCTCCATCATTTTAATTTATAGACCTACATTAAACTCAACTGGCACCAGATTATACTTCCTGTTTCTACTACCAGATTTCAAATATTTAATTCCACATTCAGTATTAAATAACATGAAGATTGAATTCTGAATCAAGTTCCATTTATCACCTAAATAGTTTTAAAATCACCAAAATAGTTTTCAAATTCTGTATATTCAGGGGGAAAATTAAATCAAATTCATTAATATTTAAATCCCTGTAAAATTTATACCACCTGGGGCACCTGAGAAGATTCTGAGACAATGTTTTAAAACATATTAGTGTAAGTAATTGAAACTTTTCAGAATGTTCTCATGGTTTTAGGTTGATGCCATGCCATGACTCTTAACTCTGTAATTTGTTCGCTGTAAATCTTTCTGTTGACCCTTCCTTTCTTTTGGTGTACGATGGAATACCAGGAGATTGTTAAGAAAAAGAAAGAGAAGGAGTAATCTTCCAAACAGTTAGGAACCAAGGCCTTATGATATGTTTATCTTTGAAGTAAATAAAAAAAATTAAATAAAATTAACTGGCTAATTATGTAAATCAAAATACTTTTTTGAGTTGATTACTAAACCCAAAAATGTCTGATGCCAGGTGGGAATTTTAAAGAATATATTTGACATGTTTCAGCATGTGATAATTTGGAATCAGAAAAATTCCTCTAAAAAGTTTAATTAAGAATTAAAAAACCATAGCTCAAGTTCTTATGGCAATCAGTTTGGGGATAGAACACCTCCCTGAGTCATTCCATCTGGTGAGACTGAAAAGCTAATACTCATTCTGTACATATTTCACCATTTTTTAGTTAAGATGATTGAAAACATCTTAGATGTTCCTTTAGTACCAAAATAATATTCAACACCTATAAAGAGTCAACATTAATAAACTGAATGTGGTAAATAGATGTTAAAAGAAGCTGTATAATGGTGTAAGGAGATCATGATGTCCTGGTGTTTGAGTTCAGATTGTACAGTTAGAAACTTAATGAGATCACCAGATGTTCTGACTGCCATACAGAACAGATCTTTCTCTACAGTGTATATTTTATAACTCTACTGCATGTTGTAATGCACATATCTAATAACTGTACATTGCATGTCTGTTTATCTTTCAACTGATAACCTTTCAACAGTGGCTTTCTACAAATTATAAAACTTGGGAGCATCATGAGGCCTATGCAGAAATCTTATATTTCAGCTATATATATCATTAGAATATCAAATCAATTTCATTTTCTGCTATTGCAATTCAAATATTGTACATGTTTCTTCAAGAGAAAGGTATATTCTTAAAATTATGAATAAATGTATATCTTCATACATTAGTTAATTCCCCCATTACAAAATCATAAACTTTCAGAATCTTGGAATACATTTTGTGATAATCTGACATACTTCACAGTACTGGTAGATTTGTAGAAAGTGGTAACATGCATACAAACACTAGTTTATAAATAGAATACAAGATTGTTTGGTGCCAAAAAGTTATATTTAGCTTCGTATACAGATAGCACTACATTTCTCAAAAAAGATTTCGCTTTTATCTTAAGTTCTTATTTTCAAGAACCACAAAAACCAAATCAGCCTTCAAAACACAAACTATTATATCCAGTCCTATAGTTTCAAAAAGGTCCAATTTGTCATAAGTGCAATTTAAATATTATGAAACAAATCTATAATAGAGCTTGCTTTGTCAATCAATTTAAAGTATTAAATATTAATTTTCTATTAACAATCTTTAACTAAGGTAAAGCCCAACGCAGACGAGGAACATTTCTGTCGACGAACAAAAACATCGAACAAATATATTTGTTTTCCGTTATCCGCAGACGACAAACATAATTCCGCAGACGACGAACATTTAGCTCGAACAATACGCTAGTGCCACGGAAAATCACATGACCTCGAAATGGCAACGTCCAGAAGAAAATGTAAAATTGCGTTTGCTATTTTATTAATTTTAAAAAAGACGCCAACGTAGACGGCGAAATAAGAGCATTTAGGTCCGTACCTGGATTCAACGTCGTAAAGAGCAGGGTGTGTTCGGCAACCTTGTAAATTTACCGGTTGTTTCCAGGGCTTGGGTTATTTCTTGCATCGCAGTGTACTTCTTGTTTCTATCTGAATAGTCAGGCAAAGAAATTATAAACAAACAGGCAGATTGCGACCACATATCTACTAAAATCTGCTCCTTCTCCACAGTCCAAAATTTTGTGTTAGTGGATTCACTGGACGTCACCATTCGAGTGTCATGTGGTCTAGCTTCGATCGCTGATTGGTCTTTCGTCGATGAATGTTCAGCGCTAACGCAGACGGCGAACAAAGAATTGTTTGGGAGGCGAACAATTTTAAAAAATCAAACATGTTTGATTTTACGAACAATTCTCACGAACATTTTTGTTCGTGTTTCTGTATTCCGCAGACGGTGAAAAAAATGAACGAAACAAAATTTTTACGATTGTTCGCTTAAAATGTTCCTCGTCTGCGTTGGGCTTTAAGAGCAAATTTGCAGATGTGCCAACAATGGTATTTCTAATTTAAAGACTGTTTAAAATAATGAATTTGAGAAGTAACATACAACACTTTGGGTAATTTTTTACTTGTGGTATAATTATGTAAAGAGTTTTAAAGCTGAATTTACATATATACCTTTAATCGAGAACGTAATCTTTCCATTCCAGTTTTATTCATTGTTCTAATTTGTCTTACTAAGAGTTATTTAATTCCAACTGAATAATCCCTAGTTAAAATCATTTGAAACAGTAATCCTGTAAATAATCCTGAACACTTTGCACATGATACACCATACACAGTAGCACATAGAGTAACTTGTTGAAACATATACACAATGAGTGATAGTGCACAAAGTGTATTGTACTCATATGTTATTCAATACTGTGCTCTTTATAAATATATCTTCAAAAACATTTCTTCAGAATGGCAGCTTTAACCATGCATCACTATTATAGATTCGATCAAAATTTAATCCAAGATATATTAACACTGATAATTCTGGCAAATATCACTTGTTATCATAATCTCTTGATAAAGTCACCAGTTTCAAACAAATTATTGAAAACTTGGCATTATCTTGATATTTTGGCACAAAACCTGTTTTCTAGATTTTATCAACTTGCCATAATGCATAGAAATGTATATATCTTTCTTAAATATATTATTACTACAAGAAAAACATTACATCAAATTTGCAGATACAACAAATAATTGAAACACACAAACATAGTCACTTATAATACCACTGAATAATCTAACAGTCTAATCACAAAATTCATAATATTTATGTAGATGGTAATGGTAATTTATGACCAATTATACAAATGGACAGAAAAGCAGAAACACAATTTTCACATTCCAAAAGCACATGCCCAAATTTATTGATACATTGATGATCCTTGGGCATGTCCAAAATCAATTGAAATTTGACACATTCAATTTCTAATTTTCTAAAATGTCCTTAAGACAGAATAATTGTCTTTGATTAATTCCAGAACACTTGTTTTAAAAAAAAAAAATCACAAAACAATATCCCAAAGCTAACATCTGGTCTCAGTCAACTGGAATTTTGTGTATAAATGATGACTGGAAAGAGCTCTTCTCTATCCAGTGTGGCCTACTAACTAGTGTCCAATGTAGAAATGTTTATAAGTTAATTACTAACATGTAGGTTATATATAACTAATGGAATGTGTTATATGTCAACTACCATATAAACATAGATAGATCAATCAACTAGTATGATAATAATATCCTTCCTGTATGTTATATATCTCTTGTTATATTTCACTGTTATAATCTAATATCTCCCTGACCTGACAAAACTTATACTATTTTACACATTTTACTATTTTTAACAGGTTAAAATGTTTCAAAACCATCTCAGGATTAATCCTGCTGCTTCCTTATATGCATGCTTTGGATTTTCTAACAGTTTCCAATTGTCATCATGGAATATCATACAAAGTCCTTCTTTAAAATTTTTACCATATTTGAATAATATGATAGCTGAGCAGGAAAAAACAAAATGCCAACAGTGGCAGCTTCGAGATTCTTCTGACCTCATGATATTCAGCTCTAACAACAGATAAAAAAAAATTGTAATCAACAAACAAGCATATTTTGACACTTTAAGACTGAACTAACAAAGGGCTTAATTAAAACCAAACTTGTTCAAGATATCATGAATACATGTAATCATCATTTTCATCCAATGCCGCTTCTTATGAAATGATGATAGACCAATAACCACAATCCACGGCCTACATGAAAATGTAGATACATAAAAATTAACCAAGTTATGTTGTAATTTGTAGAAAGAATATAAAAAGCCATGTAAAATGTATAAAGTGCTATGTTGATGAGATAATGATATATTTGAAAGGTTTATAGGAGTAATCAAACTAAAGATATTATAGATGGTCCTGTCTAAAACTATTAATACTAGTATAAATATCTTACACTAGATCAATGACCAGCTAATTTATCATAATATCTCAAATAGTAGGACCTTTAATAATTTACCTACAACTGTATCCCTAGGCGATGATAGGCTTGTTGCTTGCAAGACAGGTCATTCTTATCTATATCTGATATCATTTTATGATTATGAGTAAAGTTTGCTTCCATTTTGTACAGTCTATGCAACTAACAATGCTATTTCCTATTTTATTGTCAGCTGGTAAAAATAATCTCGACAGTTATGTGTTCATGTTCTCAATTTTGTTTTGTTTTGAAGACAGACAGTAACCCATTATTTCAAAATCAAGCACACAAGAGGATAAGGTTTTAAGTCAAAGAGACACGTAAATGCTACTACTTCAGACTTCAGTAATTAGACCTATGGAGAAAAAGTATAAAAGCTAATTTTTCAATGAGATAGTTGAACTCAAACTTTACGCAAAGTTACATACATTGAAGGATTAAGAAATGTTACTATCAAAGTATTAGTGTAAAGTCACGTAATTATCATCACAACATTATGGTGATAACTGACCTTCAACTTCTGACATTAGTTGACATAACAATATAATCTTAAACACATAGAAGAAAATTACAATGACAATATTATATACTGAAACATGTATAGGCCCATAATATTTGGTTTAATATAAACCTACTAACCCCATAAAAATATATATAAAAAAAACTATAACCTGGCTTTGTTTGTTCAATGAGAGTAAAATAGGGTATTCAAGAGATCTAAGAAAAATGATCTGACATTATATTCTAATAGAGAATAAGATCTAGCTACCCTACTTATCTCTGGTGTGTATAAAGCTGATAAGCTTATAGCTAATACTGAATCTCTCTATTCATATATAGCCTTCAAATTACAGTTATACCAAGATTATGTTTTTGGTATATGGAAGCTAACAAAGGTGTTAGTAACTTTTAGCCCTATACACTTTGCATGTGGACGAATACCAAAAATATATTCAAGTTTTCAAAGAAAATTTCATGCAACAAATACCTTAATTATTTTTTCTCCAACTTGCTAATATAATCACTAATCCAATTTTTTCCGTTTATGTATAAGTTGTACCTTTGCGATGTGCAAACCACAAAATGTTTTTCACAATTTAAAGAGTCAGCAACAGTCAAACTCTGCAAAATCATCTTAATAGCTTTAATCAAGAAGTATGAACCTACCTTCCGTAATTTTCCAAAAGTTCCTTGTGGACACTCTTTCTTATAAAATTTCTTTAGTCTGCGCATTTCTGGTTTGGCCATGCCTACAGCTTCTAAGTCTTCTTCTTTGACATATTTCAAATGATCTAGACATGTGATCTTTAACTCATTTCTTAATGCATTATAGTAGTGTCCTAACTGAGCCTCCACCAGGAAGTCTTGAAGATCACGACTACTACTCATAGCCGCAGCTTCTTGACCTGGAAAATAGTAAACAAATATATAATGAGTAATTTCCTGGAGAATATTACATAAAGAAAAAAAAAACAAATAGAAAACTTTGGTTGGTTTGTGCAGTCCCTTGATTTATCAAGGATTGGATTTTCTAGGACAGTAGTAAATTAAAATTATTCTGTACATGCAAGCTTTATTTGTCAACAGTGGTTTCCCATCAATATTGCAGGTAAAGGAAGAACCATGGGAAGGCCACCTTCATGTTTTACAGATTACACAGAACAAAGAGGTTCTACAATGTTCTGGAATAATTCCCCAATTGGTATAGAATTGTCTTCATTTGGCTGAGAAGGTGCAAGAGAGCTTGTCATTAGACTCGATTTAATTGAAACCGTGGGGTTAATCAAACTCTCCGTTGGTATGAAACTGTGTTGATGAATCACAAGATTATCAGCAGACCAACAAAATGAAGTTGACAAATATAAATGTCAATGAAAACTTTTTGTTATTGTCAACATATATATATATATATTACAACTTGACAAGTGATAAGTATGTGTAGATTAAAACCAATGACTATAGAGTATGGGACAAAAATATTTCCTGTTTCTTATGTTTGCCTAACACAAATTATATCATTTTGATGTATGACTCAATAGCAAGTGTAAATAAGAACTATTCAAATTTGTGGTTTAAAAGTATTGCACTTAATATTGTACTAGAATATACAACATGAATCTTATTGATTCTACTGCAGTAAAGTTTAAAAATGTTCAACCTTGAGTTGTATTACTTATGTTTCTCTGTAACTATTTATGTTTAGATAGTTGCAGAATTGGTTATGAACATTATCGTTATATTGCTTCTAAAGATAAAGATGGAACTAAAATAACTAAATTTGAATAAAGTTTTCATGTCTTAAATGTTGTTCTTTCAAATCATGTAATTCATGAGGTGATATCTAAGCAACAGATTTTATAATTGTTCATTTCCTACCCTCAAGATATATACTTATAATTATCTTCATACATATACTTAGGGTATACTTGTAATACATAATGCTAGTCTGATCATGGGTAACGCCTATTGTGATTAAGTTCTTCCTACACCAACTATAATCTACATTCAAACTTCAGTGACACTGATCATGAAAGGATAAAATGCATAGCAAAATTTTAAAAACTTGTATTCGAATGGAATATTAAGCCTACTTAAAACTATCAAATTATTAAGATCACATGAATAGTCAGGCAAATCCATCTTTATTAACAATAACTCTTTGTATATTTGGGGGCAGATTCTGTACATTACTGATCCTTTTCTTAATTTGTAAGTGAAAACCTTGAATGACAATGATGCATGCCTTTGTTAATTTAAACTTGGCAAAGAATTAAACTAAAAATATTCTAGTAGGTAATGAATAAAAACTTGACAGCTCCCAGATGTTCTTCCTTCTTATTTATATACACTTCTTCAGCAATGTTCACACTATCTATTGCACACATCATTTCATGCATATATTTTTAAAAATTTTTACAAATAACAACTTCTGGTAAAACTTCCTACATAAAATAAGTCATCATATTGTTTTGTTACATAAAAATTTATAACAATGAATAAGCTTATCATATTTCTTAAACAAATATTTTCCTTTCTTGAAAATTAACGCCCTTTACTGAGTTCCATAACCATCAGTAGTTTCAAACTCATGCTTACTCTTCCTGAACACCCAATGACAATGTGTTGTTAGCTGTGTCAACATAACATTCCTTTCTAAGAGTCAAAATAGTCAATATTGTTTATGAGATAAATTTATCATTATTTAATCATATTCTTAATTTATCACAAGAAAAACTAATCTATCAAACATTTTCTTACACAAACTAAATAAGAATAAATTTAATGACCTAATTTAACTATAAGATAGGATGTATAAAAAATAGAAAAGATACATGAAAAAAAACTTATTAAAGGGAACATCTGTTAAAAAGTTGGGAGTTTATTCTGGACTTTTATTAGAGTTTCTACAAGATTAGGTAATATAAATATTTTTGTTTCAAGCTCCAATAAAACTACATCTGTGATGTTACTATGAGTTACAGGTTTTCTTCAGACATTTTGGTACTGATTACAACACAGTATCTCCAAAATCTGGTCATGTTTTTTTTTAATAATATGAGTTTTCTTTCAATTTAAAACATGAGCAAACATAGTCTCTGCACTGCTCTTCTCTTTCTGAATTTTCAGATCTATAATGGTCTTTCAAAGTATATTGTTGTGTTGAAAACTAAAAGAGCACATACATAGTAGGCCTACTGTACACAATGGGGTATAATTGGAGCAATTTGTTGCACTATGGTGAGATATAATAAAGTTGCATACTTCACATTCAAGTATCCTTGAACAATTTTCAAAATTAAACTAAATGTAAAATCTGTTAGAAGTTCTTATATAAGTATAGCTCAATTAAAATAGTTTGTTACAAGGAAATTGATTGAAAGGAGCCATAAAAAATGTTTGAGTTTTAAATTTCAGGTAGCTACATAGTGAAATTAAAGAACTACAAGTGTACAAGTATATAAATAAACTGTTAGGCCAGAATACAGAAAACTTCAAGAGTTTTGATAACCGAATTGAGGAAAACATAATCTAAATTGTTATCAAGGACATAGGAACAGCAGCTTTCACATTCTCTTACCTTTCCCTAAAAGACACCAGAATCTAATTGTTTATTTCGAACAGCTGATACCTTCTGGGTTTTAATTATGTTTTTTTACCTTGATATTTCAATGTTTCAACAATCCTGAACAAGCTCACTAAAGTTCAGAACTATGCTCTGTTTTACCTGAGCAGAATTTTCATCTAGGATTTGACTGTGTGGAAAATTTAAAAACTTATCTATAACACCCTTGTTCAAAACAATTTTTGACACTATTGGCTCATATCCACAGAACACAATTTTGAAAAGAAATTTGGAAGTTCATAAGCATAGTCACGCAAAAACTTGAAACATATCCACATTTTAATCAGATATCTAAATCACATTGATAAATTATTAGGTAATAGCTATACATGAAAGTAAAAATAAGTAAATTGGTTGGCCTGGGTAAAGGATGTTGAATGTTGATGTTATCCTGGTAAATGAGTCTGACTGGAACCAGATGAGAGGGTGATAAGACTAGAATATCATGTTTAAATAACATTGGATATTATAGAATTATTAACTCTTATATACCACAAATTAACTTCCCAAATATTTCTTGATAAACTTTTCTTAATTAACATTAAAAAAGCTTTGTTAGATAATAAACTATCAAAGTACTGAAGAAACTTTCTGAACATTACTGAAAAGCTTTGTGAACAATTCAGAATGAGCAAATCATTTATTGAAAACTTCCAGGGAAAGGATTCTTGATAATCTCCAATTATACGTTTCCCATGTCTGCACCATATTACAAGACCATTGAAAGGATTGTGATGAATTCTATTTTTTTTTTTTTTTAACTCAACTGCCATTTTATCTTTTACAATTTACTTCTTTGTATATTTCAGAACCAATTGATTTAACAAACTTCTCAGACAAAAAGAATGATTACATTTTAGTACAAGTACATGACTCAACTTAATGTTATTATAGTTTCAAACTAAAAAACAGAAAAGTTACTACTTCTTGGCAGATACATATAAGTTAAATCAAAGAGACTTTTGTGACATTTGATGTTTTTCTGGAATTAAAGGAACCATTTACTTTCATCAAGATAGGGAAACACAAATATGAATCATGTAATCCAAATATAGTGTAAACCGAAGCCAAGAGATTTCCAAAAAATATTATGAAGGCAAGAAAAAATCTTTTTGTAGATACGAATCACAACAGAAGATGGACATCTCAAACAGATGGAATGAGTATATATAAATATGATTCATTCACTAGTTCTGGTGAAAATATTATGCAGATTATCTAATTATGCTAATAAAAATCATAGTGTCTATTGGATGATCAATTCAAAATTTACAAAATTTGTACAAGTTCTCTTTACTGACTTTACAACTCTTAATCCCTAGAGAAAACTGATAACTAAATTTCTAAATCTAAACAAAGAAGTTTGATATATCATTAGACCATGAAAAAATAAATAAGTGACATACCATCTAAATCACAATCATCATTACTCCAAAATTGAAATGTGGAAAGTTTAATATTCTTTGGCATAGACGGTAAACTTAATGATAACTTTCTTAATCTTTCTAAAGAAAGACCCGCCATATTTCTTGCAGCATCCATTTTAAAAATCTTTAAGCTTTCCTCAGTGCACAGTGTAAATTTATAGAAGCCAAGTGTAAAATATTAGATTCCATAGAAACACATTCACACAAAAATACAGACTACATAGAGAGTTGAGTGAAGCAAGACTTTAGAACTGAAAAGGCCAGCTGCCTGTTTTTCAAGAAATATCTTCTAACTGTTTTATGAATGAGGTTGTATATCATTTTAGAGCTAAAAGATTCTAATTTCTTTACCAGTTAAAAGATTAGATTTACTCCAATAAAACCAAGAATTCTGGCTGAACTTAACTGTATGATTCTACATGAAAAATAAACTTAACAATTCATTTCAAGCCCAGAAAAATATATTAATATTTCACTTAAAAAAATAAGATCATTCTATCAAAGTCTGATTTATTTCAAAATATTCAATGATTTGAATACATCTGTGTCCTGTAAAATACCATAGTATAGAAGCATAGGATCTGACTTTATACCTCAACACTGAAACAAAGCACAAAAGCCACATTTATAAATCCTTGAAGCATTTCAAATTATATTTCATTAGTAATGTATTTCAGTTATTCAAATTATATTGAAATTTTACATTTATAGAGCCCTAAGCATATCAGCAACATTTACACACAACCTCCAATTATCATTTTGACCTTTTTTTTTTTATCTATCAATGAACTAAGATTAATTGTTTAAATACTTGCATAATTGTCTGGTTGAAGCTTGATCTTTTAAGACACAAGTTAGTCTTGGCCTATCTTTCCCCATCACAATCTATCAGAATTTGATCAGAAATAAAACAGTCATGCACCCCAATTAGACCTTTACATTTGCCCTAGGCTAGATATTAATACTGTTATAATTTGAATTTCAAAATAAATGTCATCTAAATTTTGTTTTATAAATACCAATCAGTTTAAATTATATTTCATTAGTAACGTATTTCAATTATTCAAATTATATAATTTTTCTGGTTCTTGAAACCAACTGCATTAAATATCAATTCTGATATCTTCCAATTCTTTTTTTCAGTTCACAATTTCCTTTGACTATCATGATATACACTTATAATTTCCTCCTAAAACTTCTGAGCAATGACAATCAATAATACTAATTAACAGGTGTCAAAGAATTTGATGGTTGAAAATTGATGCCAAAATTAGTATGACTTTTGTTAGAGTAGTAAAAAACATTATGTGGCAATTTTAAGATTTTTTGAAAAACCGAAACAGAATTCTTTTTTGGCAGGAATGTCAATACTTTGAAAGATAAATGAATTCAAATGTCACAAGCAATTAATGTCAAAGATTTTGTATCTTTAAGTCAAGATAAAATCTATATACAAAATATAAGATATTGTGTCCTGCATCATGTAAGAACTTTTATACAAAATATAAGATATTGAATCCTGGATCACAGGAGAACTTATACACAAATATAAAATATATAGTGTCCTGGATATGAGATAATAAAAATTAAGATCTGTACCAGAAGTACAATTCAGTCAATCAAAAATCTTGTCCAAAGAAAAATTGGAAGTTATAAAAGTTGTATACATGTATAGTAGTGGATACGGTGTCCTAAGCTTTTATCATGTCCTATGAAAGATGTGTCGTATAGCAAAATCTAACTAGTAAATATAAACCCATAATTATAAATTCAAATGAACACCTTAATATTTATCTGAATTTTTCTATGATAAATCTTACTTTCAAAAAATTTATCAAAAAAAGACGCTTACCTGTCATTCTGACATGTATAGAAATAATCTATATTCTTATACTAAATATTACGATTTATTACCAGATTTAGTTACAAGATTATCCTTGCAATATTTCTATAACCACTAGAATCCAATTACTGTTTATGAACAGGACTTAGTTTACATAAACCTCACTTTTGATAATCCCTTTCTTACAGCTTAACTATCCTTGAAACACATATATTCACGCTTTTCTTTCATAATTCTATCAGTTCAAATCACTTTTCTTCACCTGAGATAAGTAGGTTACTTTTTTATAACAGTGTTTTCTTGCGTCTGCTACACAGTTAACAACTAGTGGAGTTAGAGTTATCTCCCATTATGTAGGAAGTGATTCATCTATTGATTTGTTAATCCCACCGAGATTGTGACTACAGTGTAATCACAGACGACACAGACTATCCTTTATCTTTATGGGATTAACTACAGTAATATAATATCATAACCATGTTCTTAATACACACCTATAGCTTTACACATTATTTACATAACTTTTATTACTCTAACCACGGTATAATCACTACACTTGACTTGACAAAAAGAATATGATGACCTCAATAAGTATGATATTGTGTCAGATATGGAATACAGTCAATGCAATTGAAAATTACCGAATATTTTATTTTTTCAACAAACCTACGTAAGTTTCAACATTGTTGCCGATGACACATAACATTCAAATTTCTTATTACTTGTGTCTACAGGCCAAATATAAGCTTATCCAAATAATCAATTGCTCTCAAAATTGGTGACAAATATTCTTGTGCTTATTAACCCAATTCTAACATAATATGAAATACCATAATAACAGTAATAATAACATGCCGGATGGGAATAGATTCAATTAAAACTCTCAACATGTATTTTCTTGTTTCAATTTACCTTTTTTTGGATATGAAATGGAGAACAATTTGACTTGTATGAATTAAGAGTATGATCAACTGCCCTGTTTAAAGTTGGGAATGATTTTGAATATAACTCTCCATTATATCTGAAGTAATGAAATATTAGTCACGTTATTTCTTACCAGCACTTCATAAAATTTACCAAAAAAAATTATAACGGAAATTCAGTGGAAATAATTACCTGATATATGACTCTACATGAGTAATAATATATTTTATGTAAACTTTACTCAGAAAAAAACCTAGTCTGTGGCTGTTAAAAAACACATAATTTAATTCAGGTTTTATGGACATCATATTAAAATTTCTAAGCATTTATGACATTTATGTCAAGATGAGATGAATTATTGTTAAAATAGAAAAAATTTGAATTAATTTTTACACAAGAACATATTTCCACATGACAAAGACTTATTACACTCCTTATCTTCTTGTCATTTTATTGAATGATGATGCACTTATATGATCAATAATTTTTGCAGCAGTTGTATTATAAGACATACAACCTGTATGTGAAGATAAAACTGTTTAATTCATCAGAATCCTTTGAATATTATTTTCAGTTTTTCCTTTTTGTAAACAATATTTTATTCACATTTATGAATTGGATTGTGGAACAGGCCTTCACCTATATATATAACCCCTTTCCAATTCCTTACAATGTCAGAGAAACGGAATGGAAAGGTCACTTATGTCAATGCGGCCACCTTCAGAGATCTCCCGCTAGTCAACTAATGACACTGTTAATAGTATAAAATTGGCAAATAATGTGGAATTAATTATTCATTATGACATCATTAGCTTTCAAAGCATCTGCTCCAGTTCAACAAAGGCTTTAACATTAGAAACAATGACAGCACGAAATTGTCATGATGATTGAAATAATTTCTCATCCAGTACGTATAAGTAGGTATTATTATACATTGTCACAACATGAGCCATGTCAAGTTTTCCCTGGAAATAAGGGACTATAGACATCTGACTTATGCAAAGAGAAGCTGTAAATGTCCATGAAAAGCAAACATAAAGCTTCATACTTCATCAACATTCTTTTGATCTTTTCTAACCTTCAATATCATGGAATTGGCTTATATTATAGCATTATTGTATCCCACAAACATATAATGTTATTGTTTAAAAAATATATATATATAATCTTAATTCAGTAAAATGTATATTATACAATTTTTAAAAAACAGAGTAGATTACTATCAAGGGTCAAAATTTACAAATGGATAAAAACACTCAAAAAAGACAACAATAAAACATTGAAACAAGTAAATTTGGCCATTGTAAACACATTTTCTGTTTACTAAAGTCTACCTGGTTTCAAAGGTTGGGTTGGTAACATATGAGAAGTAAATTAAACCCAAAAACCACCTATATTTTGTAAAAAGTCGAACTATACCTTTAATTTAGTGACCTATTTAGTCCATTTATCATAGACTTGAGCTTAAACAACACACTATTAGGCAAATGTTAAAAATTAGGTTTGAGGACACAAAGTCTCCCTAGTTCAAATGTTCACTCAACTCTGAATCAGACATTTGACAATTTGTGTTATGATGTACATGTTTCATGCTTAGATACAATCATGTAAAAGGTCCAGGGACCTTATGAAAAGTATTGTAACATCTTATGTTCTCTCCTACCTTTTATAAGCTATCTATATGTACATGTACTATCAAATCTCTGAAGACATGAAGATAATAGCACCATTTAAGGCTTTTTGTTTAAGCACCCAAAGATATTATCAAGTAAATCTATGTCTAGGGTTATCAACCAACTACACTGAAGAAATACAGTACTGGTAGATAATAAAAAAACAATAAACAGTGATTATAATCATAGTCAGGGACTTGACAGAGATTGTTAAATCATTTTGATCCACATGACAGAATGTACAACCAGGAGCATGGTAATCATAATAATATCAAGATGATGATACAATCAAACTCTAATAGAAATTGACAGAATAACCAATAAAGCACTTAACATGTTAATAGAGCATGTCTTTATAAACATTAGTACTGCCTTTGTTGTCCTTTCTGATTAGACCATCTGGAATCCATCACAGCATGATGATAAACCAACTTTGGTTAGTAATTATGGTCAATTCTTTATTGTTATAAATACCAATCATTCCCTTTAACAGGTCAATTTTCTCTGATTGGGAAGTAAATTATTAGCCTGCTTTCAAAGATTATACAAGTACCGGTACTTTAAAGTTTTACGCTGAATCAGAAATTTGAATCGAAAATTATTAGACCTAGCCTAGGTTCTAGGGATAATACGAGCATTTATAAAAAAAAAAATATTTTGTGACCTAGGCCAGTG